GCGGGCGGCCGGGGCCGGGCGGCCGCGCAGGCGCAGACGGTGCCAGACCGGTGGCGAGAGCTGTGGCGGTAAAGGGCGGACGGCGGAAAGGGTGGTTTTTAACGATGGTTTTATTTGGCGGTTTTGGGAATAATCAAGCCTCGCTAACACACAGTTCTGGTCCCACGGGGGCTCTCTGCCCAGGTGGGCACCAAGTACCACACACCCACGCAGCGATGAGCCTCGCTGGGACTGCCAGCCCCTGCCTGCGGCCCGCACTGGGACACAGCCCGGCAGGGGGCTTGGGGGGGGATGAGGGGCACCAGGCTTTGGGCTTCTCTCTGCCACAGGCCCAGCCCACGGACTGAGGAAGGCGATTCGGAGCCTCAGAAGAAAGCAGTGGCAGGGAGGGAACGCAAGAGCTGTTACCTAGTCAAAGCGTTGCAGGCTCGAAGATGGTCTGTTTAGTTCACTCTCTAAATCGTCCAAAACGTGCGTACACGGAGAAAATGCAAGGTATTTACCTTCCTCTAAAATACACCATCATGTACATTCTAGCTTTTTCAAACTACTTCCTTTCTCTCCCTCTCCCAAAAGCTATCCCTCCGAACACCACTTCCATCCCCTGCTGCATCACAGGCTCTTCCCCAAACCTTCAATTCAGCTCCTTCCACCAACTCTCCCCTTCTTCCACCTCTCTCGTTTAGGACTTTTTCTCCCAGAAAGAAATTGCTTTCACCATCTGCAAGCAGGGCGGTCAGTAGAGCGAAGGGAGAGGGACACCGGTTTTTGCTCCCCAGGGTATGAGACCTAACTGCTCCCCACACTCACACTCTCACCCCTCCTAGGGCTCCCCAACCCTGTGGATCTGCTGGTGCCGGAGGAGCGCAGAGCTCACGGTGAAGCCCTTCCCGCAGTCAGCACAGGCATAGGGACGCTCCCCGGTGTGGATGCGCCGGTGCTGGATGAGATGTGCACTCTGCCGAAAGCTGTCCCCACAGTCAGCGCAGGCGTAGGGCCTCTCCCCTGTGTGGACCCGGTGGTGCCGGAGCAAGGCTGATCTCCACAGGAAGCTCTTCCCACACTCTGTGCACTCAAAGGGACGCTCCCCAGTGTGGAAGCGGCAGTGCTGGATGAGGTGGGAGCTCACAGTGAAGCTCTTTCCACACTCGGAGCACCCATAGGGGCGCTCACCCATGTGGAACCGTCGGTGTTGGATGAGGGCTGAACTCACGGTGAAGCTCTTCCCGCACTCGGAGCACTCGTACGGCTTCTCTCCAGTGTGGACCCGCTGGTGCTTCATGAGCTCGGAGCTCTGGCTGAAGCTCTTCCCGCACTCCGCGCACTCATAGGGTTTCTCTCCGGTGTGGACCCGCTGGTGTCGTGTCAGGGCTGAGCTCACGCTGAAGCTCTTCCCACAGTTGCTGCACTCATAGGGTTTCTCCCCAGTGTGCACTCGCTGGTGCTGGACGAGCTGCGAGTTCCCAGAGAAGCTCTTCCCACACTCGGCACACTTGTAGGGCTTCTCCCCAGTGTGAGTTACCTGGTGCCGGATCAGCTTCGAGCTCATGCTGAAGCTCTTTCCACACTCGGAGCACTCGTAGGGCCTCTCCCCTGTGTGGATTCTCTGGTGCTGGATGAGATGTGACCGCTGCCGGAAACTCTCCCCGCACTCGGCACAGGCGAAAGGTTTCTCTCCAGTGTGGATTCTTCGATGCTGGACGAGGTTGGAGCTCACCCGGAAGCTTTTCCCACAGTCCCCACATATCGTCAATCTCCCCACAGAAGGATTTCTCTGCTGGATAATATCTGGCAGCCTCCTGAAACTTTTTCCACGCAGCATCACTCGGCTTTGTCTCTTCTCCAGAGGTCTCTGAACCCTTTCTGACCTGCGTGGGAGGACTAGGTCCTGTGCAGGACTCTGGGAACTGTTGTCCTTGGAGCGTCCTGAGAGTAAACCCTCAGGCTCCACTGGCCCGGGGATGCATTGGTGGGCATTCTCCTCCTTCTTGTTCACAATCCCATCTTCAGCTGCAATAAAATGAGAATCCAGAGAGAAGTCACAGGCAGGACAGGGAACTTTGCACAGGGGAAATTGAAAGAGGCCAAATTCTAAAAATTCAGCAGATTGACTTTAAGAACAGAAAGTTCTGATATTTCCCTCCAAACCACATAGCGGATTTTTCAGAGTGTTCACAGGAACAAACCCTGGAAATAGCCCTGCATGCTTTGCCAGAACCTGAATCTACTGCAATTATTGCCATATTAGAGGGAAAAGTTTAGTGCTCAAATGGGAAAGATGGCTGCTCTTCCAGGGTATTATATCTGAGAATGTTATTAAAAGTTGAACTGGGAGTCAGAGGAGGGCCATAAAGAACTGCCTTGTTCAGCAGAACATTACTTGGGTTGCAACAGATGCAACCTCTGTGCTCTTGTGCTGCTAGTATAGCAGAGAGGGAGAAGATGCACAAAGGAGACGCTGGCCCTAAGGCATGGGACATGGAGACCACCTGGAGCCTGGCTTATGCCAATCTTAGAGCAGAAGAAAGTTAAATTATGCTTCCATTGGTGCAGAACAAATCCGTTGTGGAAGGTGGTTGGTGAGCTGAAGATCCTCCATGGCCGATTCCAGCTTATGCACTGCAGAAATCTGATAAACGTAGATGACTAAGGTAGTGCAAGTCAGTGGAAGTAATGCTAGCTGAACAGTTATGAATGGCTCCTGGGACACAGGCAATGAACAAATCCCTGCCCTCTTATTCACATAAAGTCTTACAGAAGCATAACCGATATAAATCTATGCTGCGCATACTCAAGATCAGCTGAAAGTCTTTCCAAGGCGAGGGGCTTGCATAGATTTCTAGGGTATTGACACAGAGCAGTGACTCCTTCCAGCCCACTGCTCTAATGTGGTTTGATGAGCAGCATCCTAGCAGGTTCAAAAGCACGTACCCCCAACAATACTGTGGCTTTTGCCATCAGTGGGGAAATGTAGCTCTTTGCAGGCTTACTGAGGGCTTATACGCTAAATTGGCAAGACAGGACCTGTGTGGCATGTACCCTTATACTATCAGGGAAGGATAAATGGATGTCAGAGGGATGGATGTACATGGGATGTAGAAACGGCAACATGCATCTCTGAAGAGAGGCATCACATCCAGGTTAAAGACAGCTCAATCAGGGAAATAGATTTCTAGATGATCTCTTTGTATGGACTTCCAGGGGTGAAGGATGACTTGCTGTTGACTATACGTAGACCCAAAATATGGAACAGGCTGAGGACTAAAGCTGCAAACACGCAGACCTCCAGAGCTGCCTACTTAAAGATTCAATGGCTACCTCCTGGTTCTCTGAAAACTCCTGTGAAATGAACTGGTAACTTATCAGTTGTGTGGGATTGAGGTACAAACCACAGGCACTTCCTGTGGTCTGGCAGAGTTGCGATAAGGAAGTGCATGCCTTGGAAGAGGAGAGTCACTATGGAACCGTAAGTATGCAATAAAGGAACGAGAGTCTAGAATTTCAGCCTAGACTGATGCATGTACATGTTTAATCTTCCTCTTTCTAGTCAGTATAAGGAAACATCACAGTATGATTTCACAGTGAATTCCTCATATACCTTCTGTGGCAGTTTGGTGTGGTAGTGATGCCACTTCTTCCCTCATATAGTTTCCATTAAAATCATCCCTTGAGAGGAACAGAAACTGGAACTTTGCTATTTACCATGAAGGCGTTTCCATTTGTCTGCAGCTACTCCATCCAGGCCTGGAGGAAAAGAGAAAGATGATATCCAAAGACAGGATAAGAAGAGGACATTTCTGGCAGGCCAGCATGAAGCTCTTGACCTGTATGTCAGACTTACTGAGTAGACAATGGAGCTAGTGAAGTTGTTCTATTGCTGTTGTGCCCAAAGAGATACCCTTCACCCACGCTAGCTTTGGTACTTACACAGAAATTTGGTTCTTTACACAGAACTTGAAAAGGCTTTCAAAGTACAGGAGAATCAAGTCTTCTACGGTGTTCTGTACTTTTTGGGGAAGGTCAGGAGTTTCAAGCTGCTTATTAAAATGATTACAGCCATGGCTCCAGTTTTCAACTTCTACAACCATTTTTGTTACTTCTGAGCTACTAGGTACCTTCACTGGCATCCAAGACAAGTTGTCTGTAAAGGGTCTGATCGAAATCATGATGACAGGAATTCACTGGAGGTATTTTAAGTGGAAGGAGAGTAAGTTCACAATGCTGAGGAATTAATACTGGAAGCATAAGGCTGAACTGGCAAAAATGAGTAAGCAAGAGAAGAGACAGGAAGAATGTGGTTCTTCCTCAGCCCATGCCAGTCTGGGTTGATGGTAAGACCTCTGATATGCCCAAGACTGCCTGTGCTATAGCTACAAGGCAAGCTCCAGGTAAGCAGAGTAAGCGTACATGTTGAGAGAGAACCTAAATATCACCTTAAATGTACCCTTAGATCTGTCTTTCTCAAGAGAAGCCAGCAGCAGAAGGAGTTTTGGCTGATGCTCTGGCCTGTCTCACAGCAGCGGGAGGACACAGCAATCATCTCCGGCACTGAATTCAAGAGTTCACAGAAGAGAAAGCCATGAGAACTATTAAAAATAACACACCACCATCATGAGGAAGCCTCAGGCTGCTGGATGATGGTAGACTGTGCTGGGGAGGTGTCACTGTATGATTATCTTATCCCCCTCCCTGGCAGCCACTTCTAGCCAGTCCCTGAATCCCCAAGACAGGGCTTGGAGCTACACAGACCTTTGGTCTAACCCAGCAGGGCTGTTCACATGACCTCACAACACTGCCGGACTCCTGACTGTGGTACCTCACTGGTGGGGGACTGGAAGGTGGCTGATGTGATGCCAGGGCTCGAGGGGAGATCTGGGGCCCAACATTCCAAGCAAACAAACAGAAATTGGAGCAAGAGAATTAATGGACAGATGGCCAAAGAGGGCAGACTGGGGAATTGCTGGCACAGCCTTTGGAAAGAGATGTCTTTCTTCACAAACCACTTGGAGTTCTTCAGAGGCGTCACCAATATTAGCGAAAGGGAGATCTGGAGTCCAAAGGCACTCCCAAAATACTTTTGTCCCTCACCAAAACTGATAAACTAAGCTGCCGTGGGATGAATGACCCTCAGTAAGGTGGTAAGGGAGGGGAAGGGGAGGTGGAACCACTGCTGATGATTCTGTGTCATTCAGGGTTAAAGACACAAAGGCTGACTATAAAGATAAACTGTGGCAGAGCTTTTGATACTGACCAACCAGGTGACAGGGGAATGACAGGGGACATTCACTGCAGGTAAACATAAAGAACCACAGAGGGGAACAGGCTCTATACGTTGCACTTATACCAGGACGGGCCTAGGATGTTTTTGGTATCATTCAGGAATAGCACCTTGGAGTTAGAGCAGACAGATGAAAACTGCAGCTTCTAGGCAGACAAAACAGCTAGTCACGTGTTAGGGACCATTAGGAAAAAAATAGAGAATAAAAGAGAATGTAATTCTGCCTTGCTGCTCAAACCCCACATCCTGACTGTGTGCAAGGGGTAGGACAGATTTCCGTAGAGCTGAGGAAGATACAGAGGCATGATTTGAATGATCAAAGGCACAGAACAGCTTCTATATAGGAGATGACTCAACTGCCCGTTCTGCTGGAAGAAGGTACAGCTGATAGGGGATATCACTGAGGACTGTAAAAACACAAGTGGCATGCGAGGTGGGTAGGGATCCATCCTGCACCGTCTGTTCTAAATTAAGAACTACTGACATCCAGTGATCTGCTAGAAGGCAGCTTCAGAGCAAACCAAAGGAGGCGGCAGCTCACAAAACAGCTAAATAAGCTGTGGAGCTCCTTGCTGAAAGCTAAAATGTACACAACTTCGGAAGGCAAAAAAATACACAGAGAGCTGCAAGATATTGAGACGTCACATGTCTAGTTCAGGACTTTCTGAAGTCACAGATTGCTTGGGCCTGGGAAAGCACACAGGGACACACCACCCCTTGTCTGCTCTTCTCTGCGCCTCCAATACCGGCCATTGTCAGAGACAGCAGGCAAACCTGGCAGGACCCTGGTCCGACCCAGTACGGCCACTCTTGCGCATTCCGGTGGGATTCAGGGATCCTGGAGCCGTTTTTCTCACCGACAGGTTCGCAGAGGATTCCACCGGCCCCTTACCTGCACAGGTGCCACTCAGAACGGTCTTCCCCTTCCCTTCGTAGGTGTGGAGGTGGGAGAACCATAGTTCCTCCTTCTGATCCCTGTGGGAGATCATCTCCAGCTCCGCTCCTGGGGGTCCTGCTTCGGGAAAAGAAACGGGGAGGGTCAGACGACCTGGGCTTTAACTGACGGCTACGAGCAGAGGGGCTTCAGCACTTGGGAATTAGCAGCTCCCGGCTGACCTGGGACCCCGGTTCCACCCGGGCTCCCCAGCACCCCAACGGCCCCGCTGCCCGTGAGCACCCGCACCGCCCCGGGGAAATTAACGCAGCCGCCGGGCTGGGGGGGGGGGGCTCTCCCAGCTGCGGCGGGGAGGCGGCGG